CCATGTAATATGAAAAAGAGACATTTATTGAAGAAGATAAAAGATACAAGAAACATTGTACATAGGACAACAATGTATCAGTCCCCTTCAAAGTAGGCACTGTGGGACCTTACACAGTTCTCCAAGTGTCTGTTCTGCGGTTCAAAACACTCTACAAAGTCCTTGATTGGAACCGCTATAAGCTGTCCTGTCATATTTTCCTGAAACTCACTGATGCTCTCTTCCCTTTCAGAGGTGATTTTAGTTTTGGGAAAAGCCAGAAGTCATAGGGCACAAAATCTGGTTCATTGATATCAGTTTGAATTAAGTCATTAGCAATCACAGCATGATATTGCTTCTGCTCTGGTAGCAGAAGCGGTGGAACAACTTCTGCCAAGAAGCATTTCATGCCAAGATCGTGCATCAAAATGTCAGACACAGTAGTTTTTTGAATCCTCAGATCAGGTTCTAGTTCTCATGCTGTCAGCCAACAGATCTTTATTGATTGCAGCCCATACTGTTCAACATTCTCAGGTGTTCTGCTTGTTGCAGGCCTTCCAGAATGTGGATCACTTTCAACAATTTCTCAACCACCTTTGAAGCATTTGTGTCACACTTTTATTTGCACTGCCCTCATTGCATAATCCGTGAAAGCCTGCTGAATCATCCAAATAGTTTCCATGGAGAAATGTTCAAGCTTAATACAAAATTTGATGCAGATTCATTGCTCTTCTTGCTCAGTCAATTTGAATGCAATGGCCACATAGTATACAGACTCCATGAATGGCGTCTACCACAGTGAAGTCGTCATTGTTCATGCATCCACATTTAATTCTCTCCCCGTGGCTGCCAGGTTACATCAATATTGTGCTAACCATTCTCATTATGTTAACAATAGCTGGGCTTTTTCTGGACAGGCCTTGTATGTGCTGTCTACAAGAGACCCATCTCAGGACAAAAGATTCACACAGGCTGAAAGTGAAGGGATGGAAAAATATTCCAGGCAAATGGACATAAAATAAAGATGGGGTTGCAATTTGTATATCAGGGAAAATAGAATCTAAAACAAAGGCCATAACAAGAGACAAAGGAGGTCACTACATAATACTTAAAGGAATAGTCCAACAAGAGGATGTATCCTTGTAAACATATGCACACCCAATATAGGTGCACCTAAATATATGAAGAAAATCCTAGAGGATTTTAAGAAAGGCATTGACAGCAATATAGTTATTGTAGGGGATTTTAACAACCCATTGTCTACAATGGATAGATTTTCCAAATTAAAAAATCAAAAAGGATTATTGAAGCATTGAATGATACTCTAAGATCAAATAGACATAATTGATATTTACAGAACATTTCACACCAAAGAAGCAAAATATGCAAACTTTAAAAATGCAGTTAGATAATTTCCAAAGATAGACTACATGGTAGGACTCAAAAGAAGGCTTAACAAATTCAAGAAAATTGAAATCACATCAAGCGTTTTCTCAGATCACAATGGCTTGAAACTAGAAACCAAACTCAAGGGAAAAACTCAAAAACATTCAAATACATGGAGGCTGAATAACATGTTATTAAATAATGAATGGGTTAAAAATGAGATCAAGGAAGAAATCAAAAAGTACCTGGAAACAAAAGAAATTGAGCACACAATAAATCAAAACCTATGAGACACAATGAAGGCAGTCCTTCTCAGGAAGTTCATAGCAATACAAGCCTACTAAAAAAAAAAAAAGAAAAATCTCAAATAAACAGCCCAATCTTACATCTAAACAAACTAGAGGAACAACAAAGCCCAGAATGAGCAAAAGAGAGAAAATAATCAATATCAAATCAGAATTAAATGACATAGAGACAAAAAACAATTTAAAAAAATTAATGAATCCAGGAGCTAGTTCTTTGAAGATAAACAAAATTGGCAAACCTTTAACCACACTTATCAAGAAAGAAAGAGAGAGGACCCAAATAAAAAAGACCAGAAATGAAAGAAAAGTTACAACTGATAAGCAAAAATACAAAGGATGTAAGAAATTACTGTATGCCAAGAAATTGGACGAGCTGGGTGAAGTGGACAAATTTCTAGAAACATACAATCTTCCAAAACTGAATCAAGAAGCTGAAAACCTGAATAGACCACTAATAATCCATGAAATTGAAGCACTAATCAAAGAGCTAAATCCTATCCTTCTCAGACTATTCCAAAAAATTCAAGAAGGAAGACTCCCCAACTCTTTCTATAAGGCCAGTATTATCCTAATTCCAAAACCCAGTAAAGACATGACAAAAAAAGAAAATTACAGGCTAATATCTCTGATGAACAGAGATGCTAAAATTCTCAACTAAATATTGGCTAACCAGGTCCAGCAATACATTAAAAAGATCATACACCATGTTCAAGAAGGATTTATCCCAGGGATGCAAGGATGTTACAATATTTGCAAATCAATAAATGTAATACATCACATAAAAAAATGGGAAAAATCAAGTGATTATATCAAAAGATGCTAAAAAACCATTTGATAAGATCAGGTACGCAGTTATGATAAAAAGCATTCAGCAAAGTGGGACTAGAAGGAGCAAACCTCAACATAATAAAGGCCATATACAAAAAATCAACTGCCAACATCATACTCAATGGGGCTAAACAAAAGCCATTTCCCTTAAGGTCAGGAACAAGACAAGGGCGTCCACTTTCACCACCCTTATTCAACAGCGTACAGGATATTCTAGCCACAGCAATGAGACAAAAAGAAGAAATAAAAAGCATCCAAATTGGAAAGGAGGAAGCAAAACTGTTATTATTTGCAGACAGTGTGAGTATACATAGAAAATCCTATAGTCTCCACCAAAAAACTACTCGACCTAATAATGGAATATGGCAAAGTAAGGAGACATAAAGCCAACATTCATTTTTGTACACTAACAATGAACTATTAGAAAGAGAAACTAAGAAAAAATCCCATTTACTACAGCAACAACAACAACAACACCAAAAAATAAAGTACCTAGGAATAAAGTTAACCAAGGACATAAAAGACCTGTACTCTGAAAACTATAGAACACTGAAAAAAGAAATTGAGGAAGACAAAAATAAGTGGAAGCATATACTGTGTTCATGGATAGGAAGAATTAACATCATTAAAATGTTCATACTACCCAAAGCTATCCATATTTTCAGTGAAATTCCTGTTAAAATACCAATAGCATAATTCACAGATCTAGAACAAATATGACAAAAATTTATATGGAACCAAAAAAGACCCAAAATGTCCTCAGCAATCTTGAGAAGAACAAAGGTAGAAGGATCACAATACCGGATATCAAATTATACCACAAGGCCACTGTAATTAAAACAGTGTGGTACTGGCATAAGAACAGACACATAGATCAATGGAAGAGAATAGAGGGCCCAGAAATAAACCCATGTCTCTACGGTCAATTAATATTTGACAAAGGGGGCATGAGCATAAAATGGAGTGAAAATAGTCTATTCAATAAATGGTGTTGGGACAATTGGACTGGTACATGCAAAAAAAAAAATGAAACTAGACCACCAACTGACACCATACATCAGAATAAACTCAAAATGGAAAAAAAGACTTAAATATAAGTCATAATACCATTAAATCTTAATGGGAAATATAGGCAGTACTATTTCAGATATCGTGCATAGCAATATGTTTGCTGATATATCTCCTAAGGCAAGGTACATAAAGAAGAAAAATGGGACTACATCAAACTGAAAAGCTTCTGCACGTTTAAAGAAAATATCATCAAAATGAAAAGGGAATCCATCGTATGTGAAGACATATTTGCCACTGATACATTGGACAAGTGTTTAATCTCCAAAATACATAAAAAACTTATATGACTCACACCAGGAAGACAAACAACCCAATTTAAAAATGGGCAAAGGACCTGAATAAACTCTTCTCCAAGGAGGTCGTACAGATGGTCTATAGACATGAAAAAATGCTCAACATCACTAATCATCAGAGAGATGCAAATTACAACCACAGTGAGATTACCACACACCTGACAAAATGGCTATCGTTAATAAATCAACAAACAACAAGTGCTGGCAAGGATGTGGAGAAAAGGGAAGCCTTGTGTACTGTTGGTGGGAATGCAGACTGGTGCAGCCACTCTGGAAAACAGTATGGAATTTCCTCAAAAAACCTAAAAATGGAGCTCCCTTTTGACCCAATGATTCCACTGTTAGAAATATACCCTAAGAAGCCTGAAACACCAATTCAAAAGAACTTATGCACCCCTACGTTCTTAGCAATGCTGTTTACAATAGCCAAGAGTTGGAAGCAGCCTAAGTGCCCAACAACAGATGAGTGGATTAAAAATCCATGGTACAGTTTGGTGATTGCAGGGGGCACGGTATAAGGGGTTAAATGGTAATGGAAAAAAATACAATAAAAAAGAAGGGAAAAAAACTGTGATACATTTATACAATGGAATACTACAAAGCAGAAAGAAGGAATTCCTACCTTTTGTGACAACATAGTTGGCACTGGAGACTATTATGCTAAGTGAAATAAGCCAGCTGGTGAAAGACAAATACCATATTATCTCACAAGAGAAATATAATGAACAAAATTAACTAATGAGCAAAATAGAACCAGAGGCATTAAATCATGGAATAGATTGACAGCAGTATGAGGGGAGGCGGGAGGAGGGCACTGTTTGAAAAAAGGTGATTGGATTAGTCAAGGAACATATAGGAATAACCCATAAACATTGAAATGGGGTAGGGATTGACTATGGAAGTGGAGGTGGGCTGGGCAGAGGGGAGCAAGTGGGGAAATAATTGGAACTCTAAAACATTAAAATTTAAAAAATTAAAAATGAGACCGGAGCCACTGCCGCCAAGTCTGGATCTGTCGCTGTGCACCACTGACACCTCTCTGCTGTGCACACCTGATTCCTTTTGGTTCTAAGTCCAATATAGCAACTCTCAAGGATCAGCCAATTGTGAATCTCCTAAAGGAAGAAAAACAACTCCAGAATAAGATTACAGTCATTGGGGTTGGTGCTGTTGGCATGGCCTGTGCCATCAGTATCTTAATGAAGGACTTGGCAGATGAACTTGCTCTTGTTGATGTCATGGAATACAAATCAAAGGGAGGGATGATGGATCTCCAACATGGCAGCCTTTTCCTTAGAACAACAAAAATTGTCTCTAGCAAGAACTATAATATGACTGCAAACTCAAGGCTGGTTATTGTCACAGCTGAGGCACATCAACAAGAGGGAGAAAGCCGTCTTAATTTGGTCCAGTGTAACATGAACATATTTAAATTCATCACTCATAATATTGTAAAATACAGTCCCAACTGCAAATTGCTTATTGTTTCCAATCCAGTGGATGTCTTGGTCTATGTGGCTTGGAAAATAAGTGGCTTTCCCAAAAACTGTGTTATTGGAAGTGGTTGCAGTCTGGATTCAGCCCTGTTCCGTTACCTAATGGGGGAAAGGCTGGGAGTTCACCCATTAAGCTGTAATGGCTGGGTCCTTGGGGAGCATGGAGACTCAAATGTGCCTGTGTGGAGTGAAGTGAACATTGCTGGTGTCTCCCTAAAGACTCTGCACCCTGATTTGGGCACTGAGGCAGATAAAGAACAGTGGAAAGAAGTTCACAAACAGGTGGTTGACAGTGCTTATGAGGTGATCAAACTGAAAGGCTACATCCTGGGCCACTGGACTATCTGTGGCAGATTTAGCAGAAAGTATGATGAAGAATCTTAGGTGGGTGCATCCAATTTCCACCATGATCAAGGGTCTCTATGGAATAAAAGAAGATGTCTTCCTTAGTGTTCCTTGCACCTTGGGACAGAATGGAATCTCAGATGTCGTGAAGGTGACAGTGACACCTGAGGAAGAGGCCCGTTTGAAGAAGAGTGCAGATACACTTTGGGGGATCCAGAAGGAGCTACAGTTTTCAAGTATCCTCACTGCTTAGGCTACAACAGGATTTTAGTTAGAGATTGTATATATTGTCCCTTTTATCTGAGCTGTGACTAAAAACATCAATTTCCTAAAGGTAGAAATAGTAATGGTTCATAAAACCCTGCATCTCTCTCCTGATGCTGGATGGTACTTACCTTGTGTGGTCCTAAACTGGTTAGTATGAAACAGTTCCACCTCCTCAAGGGCACCACTGCCAATGTAGCACACACTACAGTTGACCTTCAAACTAGATGTGTGTTCACTGTGTGTTATATAACTTGTGGTTCCTTTACCCAGCCTGCCTAGTCTCTCCAGTCAATCTTTACCCAACCTTTTTCTCTCCAGTCAATCACATCCTGGGATCCAATGTATAAACCCAATATTGCATGTCTTGTGCATAACTGTTCTTAAGGATCTTATTTTGTATACTATATGAATCAGATTAGTATATATTGCCATATAATGTAAAAAGAAAGTCTACATATAAATAATGCAGCCAACTATCCAAGTGTCACACCAACTAAAACACCAAATAAACCTTGAACAGTGGGAAAAATAGATAAATAAATAATTAAAAATTAAAAATGAATAAAATCCAATCTGAGAAAAAAAAAAACTTTGTAGTTTGGAGAAGTCACAAGGTGGGATGTGTGAAAACAGTTGGAACAGATAGTCTCTCAGTGATCAGTTTTTAAAGGGTCATTTCTACACACTGAGTAGTTTTTAGATCTAGTGGTACTGGAAGAAATTCTTTCTAAGTCAACATCAAAGTCTGTCCTACAAACCTTTGAGCCTATTATCTACTGGAATTATCAAATTCTACCTGCATCGACGTAATTCTCAAGAGAGTACTAACAATGACTTCCTAGTCATTCCAGATTCCCTTTGAAGACAGTGACCCTCCACAAAAGGAGGTCAGAAAACTCTTTTTCAGGAGAGGAGATTTGGATTGGTTTCTAAGTTAAATGTGAGCTTTGATGCCCTGGAACATCTAATATACTATTATATCCCTATGATTAACCTTATGGGGACAAAAAATTCAAAATCATGACTATAAAAGTATAACTGTAACAAGGGTTGGTTCAATTGTCAAAGATGTTCATAAATGATCCCCAAAGACAGGGTATTTCACAGGGAATGTAAATATGCCAAGTTGAAAAAATTCAGAAATAAAAATTTTGAAAGAGGGTAAACTGTTGACCTAGGCAAAGAAATGAGAACAGATCTACAATTAATTGACAGTGGTATATCTATCTAGGAATAATATCAGAAAACATATATTTTAGAATAATACAAACTTTTAGACTGTCTTTCAAAATAAAAGCATGAAATGGCTGTGGACATTGCTGATTACTTCACCAATACTTCAATCTTCCTTGATTATATAGTACTTATGTCATTTTGATGGGATTAATCCCACCCTCAATATTCATGTGGTCATTCTTCTATATGTATCTGTGTTCAAATCTTGTCTTCTTAAAAGGACACCACTGATATTAGGTTAAGGCCAACCTATGTGACCACATTTTACCTTAATTACCTCTTTAAAAGCCCTACCACCAAATATTTTCACATTATGAGGTGCTGAGGACTAGGACTTCAACATCTGAATTGTAGGAAACACAATTCATCCCTTAACACTGAGCACTTAGATTAAGTCTACTCAAACACTTATTAGGTTTTTCAAATACATAGCCAATAAATTCATTTTATTTTACATCAGTTTGAGATGGTTGTCAACTTCAACATAACTGAAAACATTCTGCCTGATACAGCACATTAATAGTATTGATATTTTACAGAATTATCGTGTACTATGGACAAAAAAACTATAAATAACAAAAAACATACAAAATATTCAAAATGGATGCTACTTTATGCAAAACTATATATGGTTTGTTATAAATTGCAATTATATTTGAGAATAATTCCTTAAGGTTAAGCCTTACTTCTCCAAAATTAAGCCTCTGAATTTAAGAGAAGACTGCCCCTGCTTTCAAGAAACTCTTATTATGTGTGGGTTTGTATGTATATACAGAGAATTACGTCTGTATGTTGCGACTGGTTAGAGGTGTATACTTGGAATTCTCTGTTTGTGAATGTGAATATCTGCAAATATAGAATAAGTACATATATATGCACATACATGTATTTGTGCACGAATAAAAAGGATTTCTGTATCCATATGTTTTGAATAAGGTAACATATTTCTGTGTGAATATGAGTATGCAAATATGTGAGGAATGTGTTAAAAACAGAAAACCACTCAAGGAGGAAACTGAAGGGTGGAGTTAGAGGGCCTGAGAATGTGGAAGTGGGGAGGAAAAGAAGAAAACAGGACCACCGATGGGTCAAACAGGTGTGAAATTTAGAAGACTGAAGAGAAGCCCAGGCGTCTTATACTAGGAAAAGAAGACTGCCTGCTCAGTGTATAGCACGAAAAGGAGGCCTCTTTACTGACAAAAAAACCCCTAAGAGCTTAGTCTTATGCGAAAAGAGGGAGGAGACTGCTGCAGCAGTAGCGGCTGGTGGGATCCCGATGTGGCAGCGGGGTGTCTGCCGCCGTCAGGGAGGCAGAGGGCCCGCGAGCACAGTGCCGGAGACACAGCCACCATCCTCTCCGCCTGCCCGGCCGCCTCCGGGACACGCTCCTCGTCTACGGATTCTCTCCAACCAGCTTCAGCAAGCTCCCGGCTCGGCGCCCGCTAATCCTCCTTCCACACGGGCTCACAGCGCAGGCAGGAGCGAAGTGTCTGATTTGGGCACGTGAGGCCCGCGATCCGAGCGGTGGACGCCAGGCAGGCCAAGGCCATTGGTGGGTACCAGGATGGAGAAAGGAGATGGGGTGGACTCTTGCAGGAGATAGCGGTGGACACCGACTCCTAGTGAGGCTGGGGTGGAAAAGTGCAATGGGCTATAGGAAAAGGGGTGGCGTTAGGGAGACAGGCAAGAAATTGAAGCGAGGGCGAGGGAGCCAGGGAAACAACTGGGGGTTGTCAGGGGGTGTGTGGGCAGCAGGCGGGGGCGTTCAGGGCTGGAGGACACTGACTGTCTGCGGGTCGAAGCTGGGAAGGGATAGGTGCTTTGCGGGGGATTTAGAGAGTGGGCACCAGTGGCGGGCAGTGGAGGCAGCGGGCTCTGAACAAGGAGGTAAAGGAGGTAGCCTGCCCCCCCCCCCGCGGAGTTCGTAACCCCAGCCAGTACCAGTGCCGCTGCTGCCCTTCCCTGCAGCCTAAAGGAACCCGGGGATGGAGAGCACTTGCGGGCACCCCACCAGGATTTCCAACATTGGTTCCAGGCTCGTAGGGAGAATTCAGTTGCCACCACAGGGTACAGAGAGACATCGCTGTCGGGAGAACTTCGCCTTGTGGCATAATGATTGTCTTCTTACCTTCTCTCGTCTTACCTTCTCTCTTCCTGCTGTAGGCATGAAGACCTCCAACACACAGGAAGCCCCAGGGCAACAAACCAGGGCACCAGTGGGGGGACGGGCCACTGGGTCTGCAAACATGACGAAGAAAAAAACCTTCCAAAAGAAGCAGAGGGGCAGACCTTCATCCCAGCCCCGCAGGAACATCGTGGGCTGCAGAATTTCACACGGGTGGAAGGAAGGCGATGAGCCCATCACCCAGTGGAAAGGAACCGTTCTGGATCAGGTGCCTATAAATCCCTCTCTTTATCTGGTGAAATATGACGGAATTGACTGTGTCTATGGACTGGAACTTCACAGAGATGAAAGAGTTTTGTCTCTTAAAATTCTTTCTGACAGGGTGGCATCATCTCAAGTCAGTGATGCAAACCTTGCAAATACCATAATCGGTAAAGCTGTGGAACACATGTTTGAGGGCGAGCATGGTTCTAAGGATGAATGGAGAGGCATGGTCCTAGCCCAAGCACCAATCATGAAAGCCTGGTTTTATATCACCTATGAGAAAGATCCTGTCTTGTACATGTACCAGCTTCTAGATGATTATAAAGAAGGAGACCTCCGTATCATGCCAGAGTCCAGTGAGTCTCCTCCAGCAGAGAGGGAACCAGGAGGAGTTGTAGATGGCCTGATAGGTAAACATGTGGAATATACCAAAGAAGATGGCTCCAAACGGATCGGCATGGTCATTCACCAAGTGGAAGCCAAACCTTCTGTGTATTTCATCAAGTTTGATGATGACTTCCATATCTATGTGTATGATTTGGTGAAAAAGTCCTAACTGTTAGGGCACAATTGGCCACATTTGTGAAAACAAATGTATACTTTGTAGACATGAAAAATGATGTTGCTTTTCAGTGTATTGGGAGCTTAAGAGTCCCCATTAATTCAGCATCTTTGCCAGCATAACTGTTGTTTTGTTCTGAAAAATACAAATGTATGTGGACATGACATGCTGTGTGTAAGCACTTTATCATGTTGAACACACTGGGTGTGTTTGGTGGAAGGGGTATGAAAGGAAGGGACAGCTGTAAATTCAGGCTGCAAACAAAGTTCAGCTACTATCATAATCAGTCATCTAAAAATGGAATAGGACTTAGCTGGCCTGGTCTTGGGAGGAGGGAGGAGAAGGAACTAGAGATGGGCTGTGGGGGGAGGGGAAAGGGGAGGTGACTGCCTAGGAAGAGGTGGGGAGGGGGCCAGAAATGGGAGTCTCCCTGGGTGAGGAATGTCTCAGGAGGGGGGAGGCACCCAACTGGAAGGAGGTAAAGAACAAAGGAGGAAGGGGGAGATCTTGGGTTTAGAGGAAAACAGGCAGAGTAAGTTGAGTAGAGGGGGGCACAGAGAAGCTTAGAAGTCTAGAGCAAGGGGGAGAAAGACCAAGTTGCCCGGGACTTGGGGAGAGGCTAAAGGACACTCAAAGAGAGGATCTGTGCATGCATGCATGAGGGGCCAAAGGGGCAGGGGCACTGAGGAAAGAAGGATTCCAAGAAGAAAGACTGACCAAGGGAGCGAGAGTACAGGAAAAGAGGTGCGGGCAGTGGGGCCTAGGAGAGACGGGAAGGTGCAAGGAAAAGGCGGACTTCTGACGGTATCCACAGTGCTGTCCCCGGCTCTGTGCACAAAAGATGTGGCAACTGTCAAAGAA